AGTTCCTGTCTTCTCTACCCAAACATACCTATCTCTTGCCCCTCACATTTGAATCAGGTAGCTTCAAGCATCAGGCTACCTGTATGCAATCAGGGAAAGTGTCAAGAGCACAGGACAAACAGTCACTTCAAGTGCTGTCCCCTCATTTACTGAATGAGGCATAGTCATGTGGAAGAAACAGTATGTGATCATGTGATTATTTATCAGACTCCATACACACAAGGGGACAAATGAGGGTAGCGTGGTTATTAATATTTGAGTGTTTGATTTTACATCATCATATTGTAATTTTAATATGGTTTTATGTATATAGTTCACAAGTTTTTTAAAAGAAAAGATTTGTGCTTTATCATATGCAAGAACCTTCCATTATTAGTGATCAGCACAGTTTGACTTGAGAGCTTCAGCACCACAGCAAGACAGATGTCTGTTACCTCAACAAAAGGAGAAACTATACTAGGTTATAGCAGATTTGGGCCTCTAAAGTAGGCAGGTCCATGATCATGGGGAGTCCAAAACCTGCTTCTTGTTTTTTTAATGTTCTCCTGAACAGAAACTGAAGATCTTTAATTGGATCAGTGGCAGTTATTTTCTATTGGTCACTACAAGCATTTTTACTCATATCTGGATGTCATGGTTTATGTGACAGAGTTGGTCTACACTGCAAAGGTATGTTGTCTTAACTACATTGCTGTGGCTGTGAAAAATTGTAAGCCCTATGAGGAATAATTAAGTCAATTTAAGCCCTAGTGTAGATATTGCTAAATCAATGAAACAATTCTGTTGACCCAGCTGCCACTTCCAGAGAGGTGGATGTACTAGTGTGATAAAGAGCCTCGTATATTTATGTAGTAATGTTTACAATATAACATTCTAGAAATGTTACTGTAATGATTCTAGTGTAGACATACCCTCATTTTTATAATACATTTTTCAGATGTTTCCCTCTCTCTACCTTTTTTCTGTGAAGATGAATTGATTAAAGTTTGTACAACTATGTAGTCTTCATTCAGAGCATTTACATGCAAGAACCCCTTCCATGTTATTCATGACTTGTAATAGACTGACAGCTGTGCAGTTTAAATTTCAATATAATAATAGTTGCTCACTGTAAATTGTGTAATTCCTAATGGGGGCTCAGCCTCGCCTAGATGTGGGAGTCACAGGCGAAAAGCAAATTAATGTGATATGATATTCAGTTATGTTAATATATAGATGAGAAATAAGTAGCATATAACAGAGGGAAATCCTTGTGTCTCTTTCACAGCTAAATAAATCACTGGTGTAACATAGAATGGTAGGTAGTGTAAGTACAAAGCCTTTTGTAATTCAGGTTGGTTACTTAATATATGTGTGTGTGTATATATATATATATATATATTTTATCTGTAAAGCTTTACATCCTATTTACCAAATGATATTGCTTTTGTATGGGTATATCTTACCACTAGTTTTTTAATCTTGTTTCCTCCTTTTACCCATTGTTAATTCAGAGGCAAGAAACTCATTAAAAGAAGTGTTCAAACCTTATCCAGACATAGTATGCTGAGTTTAGAGCTGCTCTCATATCACTTTCCAGTAACAAAGAAAGGCTGAATTTCTGTTAGTTGGTCCTACACCAGAAAGCTCAGATCTAGATACAAACACTCTCAAAATCCACAGGTGTTCAGAGTTGATTCATCATTAGTTTTGGCGCTTGCAATATAGGAGGACTTTGATTTATCTTTGACTACATTAAGAACTTAAAACATCCAATAGAAGAGCAAAGCTGTAAATTGAGGTCTTAAGTTTGGCACAGGGATGTTTAAAAAGCAGTTAATTAAGTAACTGTTAAAAATCTTAGTATTACATGCTGCAGGCTCTGTAGTATAAAGTCCCCCAGTAGTGGGGCTGGCAGCCAGTCCACATTGGGACTCAGCTGCTATGGGCTCTGCAGTCCCAAACAAAGAGATTTGCTGAATCGGGCAGTGTTCCCTCTAAACTGTGTGGCAGCACAGCTTAATCAGCCCCGCCCAGTCAGTCAGCTCCATGCAGATTAGAGTGAACACTGATGTGGGGATGTGCCCTGTCATCAATCTCCCAGCCCCTCCTGACTGCCAGCTGCTTCCAGCCTGCTCCTGGATGGGCTGCCCCTGAGCTTGGGGCAGCTGCTGCTACAGGGCTCTGGCACCAACCCCCCTGCCACCAGCTTAGATGGGGCTTCCCAGGACCAGATCTGTTCACAGATGTTTTACAAATATCAAGTCTTACAAAACCCACAAGAACAGGGATCCTGCTTAGTCATCGCCCCTCCCCCCTGCTGTGCTCCTGGCCTTGTTGCAAGACCTCCCTATTCCTGGGCTTTGTGGTCCAGAAACATCCATGGTCCAGTAGGATGAGAGTCCCAGTTTAGGGAGGTACAACTTGTATAAGCTTTATACTTCAAAGCATGAAGCGCTGGGTGGCAGCCAGCTCCCCTTAATGTATCCTAACTGTTTCAATAACTGATAAACTTGATTAAACAGTTACACTGTTGCATCCCTAGTTTAACAGTTGGCTACAGATTCATAGTGCCAACATTTGCCAGTAATTAACTAAGGATTGAATTGCTTTTTGTTCTTCCAAGCCCTAAGATACAACCACATTTGTTCCAATCCGTGAGACAGAAACCAACAAAGAAAGCAACAGAACACCACTAGCCATTATCTACAACTCCTAGCTAAAACCTCTCCTACAAACTATCAAGGATCTACAATCTATCATACATAAGGATCCCTTGCTCTCACAGACATGGGACAGCAGAACTGTCTTTGCTTACAGACAGTCTCCCCAACCTGAGGCACATACTTACCACCAGCTTCATACCTCACAATAGAAACACTAATCTAGGAATCTAACCCTGCCATAAACCCCATTGCCAACTCTGTCCACACATCTACTCTAGTAACACCATCATAAGACCTAACCCCATCAGCTATACCATCAAAGGCTCCTTCATGTGCACATCTACAATTGTGATATATGTGCCAACTCTGTCATGTACATCAGACAAACCAGACTGTCTCTATGCAAAAGAGTAAATGGACACAAATCAGACATTAAGAATGGCAACATGCAAAAGCCAGAGTGGGAGCACTTTAACCTGCCAGGCCACACAGTTTTGGACTTGCCAATTTCCATTCTCAGACCGAAAAACTTCAAAAACGGACTGCAGAGAGAAACTGCTGAGCTGGCATTGATATGCAAATTTGACGCTCAAGCCAATGTCTAATTTACATGGAATGGTTCTCCCATTACAATAGGTAATTTCCTATTCAGGTACTCTCATCTCATCACTATTGGAGATTAGTCACATCCATTCTGATTTAATTAGCACTGTTGTCACACTCCTAGCTCTATCCTTTCTCCCCACCCTCTTTCTGTCTGTCTTTTTCTCTTCAGCATTTGAGGAAGTGAATTGTAGCTCATGAAAGCTTATGCTCTAATACCCTAATAAATTTGTTAGTCTTTAAAGTGTCACCAGACTCCTTTCTCTTTTGGGTATTTGAGAGAGTAAATTTAGTTCTCTTCATCATCCGTGCTCTTTTTCTTAGCAGAGATTTTCCATGGAAAAACTGAAATTCCTCTGCCAATGAGAATTCATAGAAGTGAACATAACTGATGATTGCACGGTTCTGAAATCTTCAGTTGGAATGCCAGGTCAGGATATCAGACAAATATTGCTAATAATTGCATTTTTCTCTAAAGAGCTCTGTGTTTTACACAGATGTTTTACAAATATTAAGTCTTACAAAACCCACAAGAACAGGTATTATTATCCCCACTTTCATAGTGAGGAAACTGAGACACAAAGAAGTTAAATGACATATTCAAGATCACATGGCAAAACTGACAGCATCAGGAACAGAAGCAGATTTCCTGATTGTTTTGTACTTTATTTATAATATGATCCTTCCTCTTTAATGTCAGTATGTCCACATAAGCAGTGGGGATTTTTAACAGAGCAGAAAAGGACCCAGATCAGCTCCTTGTTTATTGCTATGTCTTTGCTACAGCATGATTAATAATAGCAGCAAAAACGAACATCACCTTGGAAATAACATTTCTTAGTTAACTGCTCACTCTATGTCAGTGTATGAGCTCTCACATTTTGGTTTTGGTCTATTTTACGGGGGTCGTGAGGAGGTGAAAAGGGAGTTGGAAGAGGAAGTAATTCTCAAAAATAAGAGATGGTGTATCTTTTTTAATAGTGAAACTTTTTCCTAAGAAACCACCCAAGACTATCAAAGAAATTGATTGTAATGGTGCCCATTTAAACAAAGGTTGAACAAAATGGTACTAGGCACTTCAGGGGATATTTAAAATGACCTTTTAAAAAGGGAGGTAGCTGTAGGTTGTGCCCTTAGTAAAGGGAGGGAGAGGGAGGAAGAGAGAAGGTGTATCCCATAAGCCCGTTCCTATTAATGGAAAAATTCCCCTTGACTTTAGTGGAAACAATCTGCATCAATTTAGGAAAGGGGAAATAAGTACTGAGTCATATGAATATGTAAAGTAATAACTTATTTGATGATGATTACATCTAGTCATTGGTATTCGTCTGTTTTACTACATATAGATGAGTAGAGTATTTTCATTATTAGAACCTCATTCAAAAAGTTTTGTGTTCATCCTCACACAAAGCTTTCATTAACTTGAATGGATGTTTTGCTTGCAAAAGGAGAGCAAGATTTAGCCCTTAATTTTTTCCTTAAGTGTACTGCATTTAATAAATGTTTCAATACATGGCTTTAAATATGAACAGATGTCTTCTTATCACTAAATTATACATGGATTCGTGAAATCTGTTTTAGGGACTGTTAACAATAAGTTGCTTAATGGATAAGATCTTTTATCCAGAAGTATGCTCAGATCCTCAGCTGATGCAGGATCCACCATGAAATGAGTCAAGGCAGTCTGGTGTTGAAAGCCACAGAAACTGTGCTGGATATTGCTTTCTAGCTTTACTCTTCCTGGATTTAGATATGTTTAAACTATAACCGCAATTTACGAGGATACCAAATTGCAGTAATAAAGAACATCACTAGATATGCTCTCTCAGAAGATTTGGTTAGAAAAAAGCCAATGGCTATTATATGGATTGGGCACTTGAGACAGAAGGATATTGCAGGAGAAGGAATAACTGTTGAAGGATCATGAAGTGAGAGGAGGGACTGGATAGAAGTTAGTGGGGAAGGCCATGAGGACAGAGAAAGGAAATGTGGCCTAGAAATTAGAAGATGAACTTCATGACATTATCCAACACTAATCCTTAGACCAGTGGTCCCCAGACTGTGGAATAAACCCTCCTGGGGAGCATGTGAGAATGTGGAGGGGGAACCCAGTGGTACTCAGGCCAGCCTCCACATGGGATAAAGAGCACCACTCAGCCCTGTTCTAACCACAAGTCCAGCTCCACCTCACCTCCTGCTCTAGCCCAGCTTTGTCCTGATTCCCTCCTCCACCCCCACTCTAGGTCAGCTCTGCCTCTAGCCCCAGCTCTTGTCTAGCCCTAGTTCTGCCCCTGCTCCGCTGTCAACCCAAGCTTCTCTGCTGAGTCCTCCATGCAGTAATGAAGAGGGTGAGCCCAGATTCCATTACTGGTAAGAGAGGGCATGAAAAGAAAAATATGGGCACCATTGCCTTAGACTAAATGTAATATTACTAGGTAATAGTCTGACAAAGTGACTATTGCAATTAGTACTAATAAAAGAAAAAGTTTTTATACTATACATAAAAACACACATCTAGGAGAAATTGTATCTATTACTAAACTAAAGATAACTTACCCCGACTGTTTTTCTGTTCTGCTTCTATCCTGTCTAGGCACCTTGTTCTACCCTCCTCAGTCAGGAAGAGCTCAGTAATAGTCTAGATACTAGATGACATAAGTGGTTACCTAATAAGAAATCTTGATTTTTACAATTATCTAAGGAAGCACACTTTATTTAATGAGCTCTTAAATATACTCTTTAATTTTTTCCCCTAGGTCTGTTCTACACTAGGGCTATGTCTACACTGCAGGCTTCTTGCACAGGAACTTTTTGCTCAAGAGTTCTTGCACAAGAGCGCGTCCACACTGCCATGTGCATTTGCGCAAGAGCATCCATGTCAGTGTGGATGCTCTCTTGCACAAGAAAGCTGTGATGGCCATTTTAGCCATAGGGGTTTCTTGCGCAAGAAACCCCTGTTCCCATCCACACGAGCCTTTTTGTGCAAAAGAGCTTATTCCTCATGGGAAGTGGAATAACTCTTGTGCAAAAAGCCCTCTCTTCTGATGATCTACTGTAAACTTGCTTGCACAAGAATGGGCTTGTAGTGTGGATGCTCTGCAATTTTTTCCTCAAGAAGCCTGCAGTGTAGACATGGCCTAGGAGTATAGATTGTAATTAACTTCCTAAGATTGATTTTTCTAAACAGAGAGTTCGCATTATGAAGGCTGTTTCTTCGACTTTAAGAGACGTTGAAGTCGATTTCAATACTCCTGCTTTCCATGAGCAGTAACACAAAATTTGACGTGGCATGGTCAAATTCACACTTGTGTACACTCAGCATAGAGAAAGTCAAGGTTCTTGGCCTGCAGGAGGGAGCCCACAGTGCTCCGGTCCGACCACTCTAGCCAGAACTTCCACCTGAACTGGTCTCCAAGTGAACAGGAAAAGTCCCAGGAAAGTTTGAAATTCATTTCCTGTGTGGCAGGCAGGAAGCACACATGGCCGTGACTTCCAAGAATTCAAGTTTTGTGGGCACCAGTTCCCAGAGGCATAAAAGAACACCAGCATGGAGTGTGCAGGAGATCTTGGATTTGAGAAATGGGGAGAGAAATCCATTCTCTCTGAACTCCAAAACAGCAAAAGAAATGCCAATATCTACACTACGAGAGCACAGTTCTTGGTGTGTAAAAGATACTCCAGGGACTCCCAACAGTGCTGAGTTAAAATAAAGTAGCTGCAGTCCTACCACAAGACAAAGGAGGCAAATGGATGGTCTGGTGCATCGCCGCAAACATGCCGTTTTTACAACCAGCTGCATGCAAATCTAGGGAGGGACCCGAACAGCTTCCCAAGTTAGACTGTGGAGTCTGCCCAAAACACTCAAGGCAGCAGCATGGAGGACATTGTGATGGTGGATGGGGAGGAGAAGGAGGAAGAAATTGGCCAGCTGGCGAGCAGCAAGAGCCATGACCTTTCCATCGCTTTGGAGCCAATACCGTACGTTCCCCACTTGAGTTCTGGCTCCTATTTCCTCTAGCATGTGAAACTTTAGTGCTTATCTTCTCACACTACAAGCTGAAGCTGTTGCAATGGAAAGTTCTGACTAACAGGTGCCTGGTCTCATCTCCATTGACTAATTAGTTCAGGGGTGGGGTACCTTTTTTGGATCAGGAGCCACTGACACACAGAAAAATTGGTTGGGGGGCCACACACAAGTGAGAAGGAAAAAAACCCCAAACCACAAATCCTCACTGACATGACCCATGACTGAGGAAGAAGACATCCCCCACATTCCCCTCGCACACCAGAGCCTAGTAGGGCCCAGGATAGTAGATTTCGTGTTCTCCAGCCCTGCAGGCAGGTGACGAGGGGGGCTGTCTCACCAGCATGGGAAGGTGCCCTGAGACTTGGAGGCTGGATCCAGCCCCCAGGTCTTAGGTTCCCCATCCCTGAATTAGCTCAAGTCTGTCTCCCAACGGTCCTGGCAACAGCCCTGAGTCTCCATGCTTCTTAGGCATCAATCATTTCCCTAGGTGTAGTTAATTTTCACTGCATATGGCTCTAAGGATTCCTTTCAAAGAGTCAGTTCTAGGACTTGGATGAGCAGGGCAATCATTTTGGGGTGAGGGCACTAACTTCCAGGAAGCATTGATACTGTTGTCACTCTTAAAAAAAACCAAGAAGTTTTTTTGTTCTGCTGATTCTGTTCTGCTGATTTGGCAGTTTGAGGGGAGGATGGGCCTTTAATCAAGCTGCTTTGATTCCAGCTTTCCGGGCACTACCATCACCACCCATCTGGGTCTTGCCTAATAAATCCCTATCTTTGTTGGCCTGCTTTTTTCCTCTCTCTGTCTCTTGTGGTGGTGGGTATTCCCCTTTCTTTTACTTCTTGTACTCAACTTGCTTAAATAATGCAGTGATAATTTGTCCCCCCTCTGTCTTCTCTTTTTCCACTTTCATAAGCTAACTATGCAGATCTTCATTTTTGCCTGACTACATCCCTCACAGAAAAAAGATACAGTTCACTTCCTCTCTCACTCAACTTGCTGCTTATTGTCCTCAAAGAGTCAAACCCTAGGCTGTGTAACAGCTGCTATCATTACATGCAGAGAGTACCATCCTTTATTTTAGAAAGTTGGCTTCAGAACTACAGGGGATAAAATGGATTGTAGGAAGTTCCAGCTTATGACACACTCACGACTGTGTTCTGTAATGTTTAAATAAAAATAACTAAGTGTTTCATACCAACTCTGAATAATTGAATTTGATCAATATTTTAGTGAGAAAAAGGTGTGTCCACACTTCCCCAAGTAACTGCAGATAAATCTCTGGTTACCAAAGTTAAGCTATAGACACTCTATCCCCTTTAGTACTGTTGTGTTCTTGGTTACCAATAGGGGTGGGATGCATCTTCTCAGAGTGAATAGATATTGATGGTTTGGCTGTAGTGCCTTCTTCATTCATAAGGAGGTTTTTTCTGAAGGATCAAATGCTCTTCTTTTCACCTTGTGAATCAGGCTCAAATTAAGACTATAGAAGACGATAGTATGCTATGTATCTATGAATCATGACTAATAACTTATATATTTCAGAGAGTTTGTTTGATCATGACCCCCTCCTTTCAGCCAATGGTCAGGGCAGTGTGTGTGTGTGTGTTACACCCAAGTCTTTAACTGCTGGGACACAAGGCCCCGTCGCAGTGGGCAGTCTAGGAGAGACTGACGGGTGCCCCGAGGAGTTTAACATCCATGTCTTTGTCCACTAGGATCGGGATCCCTTCGCGGAGGGCAGCCAACAGGCTGACAGACGCCCCAGAGTTTATAGGAAGAGCTTATTACGTCTCAGATTTTAATTGCTAGGATACAGGATCCCTTCGCAGCAGGCAGCCTAGGGAAGACTGAGAGATGCCCCTATGGATCTGTCCTCTGGAAGCAACATGATCCAAATGCCCCAGCTCTTCCTATATCTGTCCCTTATGACCGGCTGAAGTTCTTTTAAATTGTGCTTGGTTCTGTTATAGCAACTGAAGGAATCAGGTTAAAACTTAAACAGTTACAGGTTTATTAAAGAAGCTTATAAATCATATGGTTACAATGGCTATTGCGCTATTTCTTAACTACTAGCAAATATAGACCTTAAAAATGGTTACAAAGAAAATAGATAAAAAATAAAGATAATGGTACCAAGTGACAGCTTAATCTTTAAAGAGCTCTAAGTCTATGTGTACACTTAAGACAAAGGACCACATCTAGGTACAATTTTTACCCCCTTCTGTGCCTTTCGACACTAGCATATCAGGCCAGGGCCGGTCCCTCAATTCCTGGGAAAGACTAATACAAGGTGGGTGCCCACGTGGAACCTCGGGAGGCCAATCACCTAACCCGGCCAGCAGATAGATGGTAGATTGACACTCAGAGTAAGTGTGCTGCTGGACCCATCTTTATACCCATAGGGGCCCATATCCTCTTTCTTATCTAAGATGCCAAATTGTGTTGGTCCGTCTTTGTGACGCCAGTACTTACAAGGGAGTTTCAAGTTAATTTACACTTGCAAGAAAGATAACTAAATTGTGAGTACTGGACATTTTTTACTGGACGAGAGATTCCTCCCCCTCCTCCCCCCCGCGGATGGCTGTGTGTTCGTATCAATATAGGTGCCAGCCAAGGCAGTTCTCACAGCCTCGAGGTCAACAATTGGCGTATCTCTGTTTACAGCCATCCTGTGTCACAGCAGCCTGCATATCCGGGCCTTCTGTTCAAGGCTTTCAAAGACTATGCTCTTTTACTGCTCTGTGTGCCCTGCATGCTTCCAGGTAAACAAAGATGGATGTTACAGGGGGGTTCCTGTCTGACTACACCTCCCAAAAAGTAAGAGCTAGGACCACCAAATTTGGTATATAGCTTCCTCTGATCATAACTTAATGCAACGCAAACGTTTGGTTGTGCCAGGAAAATGGAATGTAGCTGGAAATTAGATCACTTCTCATAAAACCAAAAAGAAAAAAGACAAAATCACCAAAGCAAGTGCAATCCTCAAAACTGACATAACTGAGTGAATGTTGAAAGAGACTGAACCAAGATGAGTCAGAAAAATAGGATCAACCTGCAATAGGATTGCTTCTCAATAAACCCTACAGAAAAAAGATAAAACTGAAAAATTTGGAGTAGTGCTCTGTTTTGACACAACTAAATTAATACTTAAGGCTTACAACTAGAAGAAAATGTCATTGGAAAACAAACTGACCATAGCCCTTTTTTGTTAAAACACAGTGTATAGGGATGAAGAAAAAGAATACACGATAGAATTCCCATTTTTAAAAAATTACTAAAAAAATTAACCATAAAATCTTAATCTATTTTTAATTTTTATTTCAGATTAACGTCATTAAAATAACATTGTGGGTTTTTTTAAAAAAACACAATGATTTAAATAAAGTATGTATGTTTCCCTTTTATTAAAAAAAAACCCCGTAATTGAATTACGGACCCGAGCAACACCAGGTAAATCTGCTAGTTTTAAATTTTAGAGTCTCCGCACTGCATGACAGGACTTTTTATGAATGATTTTCACAGACACATTTGGTTTGGTCTTTCATCTCTGACCATTTCTCCTATGTCTAATTTAAGCAGCTGAAGCTTCCATGTTTTGAAGAATGTTACAGATAGCGGTTAGATTTGTGCAAAACTTTGACAGTTTACTTCATTTTGATCAGCAATTATTTGAACCTCCCTGAGTTTTGCTTTGAACAAACTCAATATCAGACAGTACTGTCATTTTCAGATTATAAATATGATCCTCATTCTCTCACATTTTGACATTGTAGTTGCTTTATCAACCTTCTGAGTTGTCTAAGTAAGGTCTGGTCTAAATGTGGCAGGAGCGCAGCTGCACTGTTGCACGGACATTACATTACCTACCACCAACAGAAGGAGGAGTAAAAGGGGCAGCTGCTTTGGGGCCTGGACATTTTAAAAGGGCCCAAGGTTCCTGTTCGTCATCACTGCTATCTCAGACATGAATACCTGGTCCTTTAAATTGCTGCCAGAGCCCTGCACAGTGCATACCCTGTAGCCCCCAGGGGCAATGAAGGACTGGGTGAGGAAAGCTAAGCCCCCCAGCCTTACCCCTTCCATTCATGGATCCACCCCTTCCAGAAGGACTGGAGTCAGGTCCCTCCTTGCCCCACTCACCCCCGCCCTCCACCTCGCTCGGCCGTGAAGTCTTTTGTCAGCCCTGGATTCTCTCATTGGTTGGGGTAATTCTTCTGTTCATCTAGCGCTGTCTGCACTGGAACTTACCATGGGCTTAACAATGCTGCTAGGATATGGATTTTTCACTCCCAACCTACATAGTTGAATTTCCCTAATTTTCTAGTGTAGATCAGGCCTCAGTTATAAGTATGTCCTGTCGTACTTTCTGCCTCTCCCTGTTCCTTAGCCATGTCAGCTTTTGCTCTAAGCTTTTATACTGTACTTGTTACCACTGTATCTTTGTTCTAAGGTTGCTGCTTTAAATCCAATATAATTTTATGAGTGTTCATTTGCTCCAGTTTGTTATCAATTACTCTGACTAGGCTCTTAGTCGGAGTAAGGTTTTTGGTTAATGCAGACTGTGTAACTGTTATGACTTTGTTTTCTGTACCCCACCTTTTCATCTTTAGGAAATCTACAAGACAGCTATCATTTTGTGAAATAGTAATAGAGATGTAGCCGTGTTAGTCTGGTCTTACTGAAACAAAAGACAGGATTATGCAGCACTTTAAAGACTAACAAGATGGTTTATTAAGTTCATCACCTAATAAACCATCTTGTTAGTCTTTAAAGTGCTGCATAGTCCTATCTTTTGTTTCATCATTTTGTGAGGTAGAGATAGTGCAGACTGTGTTACTGACGAGAGAGACACACTATGTTCTGGAGATTTTTACCTGGGTTCTTTCTTGGTTGTTTTTTTTTAGTCTAAAATTAAAGTCACTCCGATTGAAAGTGTATAGTTGATCTTGCATAGAAAAAATATAGCTGTTCTTTCCAGGCATCTGAGAGTGTTATCCGATAAGACTCCTCATAGATTGTATCTTTTACCAGGCCTAAAGTATTGGCTTAGAGCAATATGTAAACCAAAAAACTCTAAGAACACGGCTTACCTGCCTTCTGCATTAGCACTGAGTGGAAGGATTTATATGTAGAAATAATGTGCAGATAAATGATTATTTATCAAATTATTTCTGTTTATATAATAAGAGAGGCCAGCCACTACATCAGATTACAATGACAAATGAACACTTGTGTTAAATATAATTTAAAAAAAAGTAACGCAGGAAATTGCCATCTTGACAGTCAAATGATGCATAAAAAGGCTGAGAAATGGCAGAAACCATCTGTATTTCATATGCATGACAAAGCAGGGGCTTTCAAAGCTGTTATAAGGAAAAATCTAAGCCTTTACCTTAACTACAACTTTGAAAGTTCCTTGTTGATAGGAATTATTACATTATTTCATTGTAATACCAATAGTCTTATTACTATTTTTTATAATTAAGAGACAGGATGCCTGCCTCAGAGTTTTCTGTGTGAAATGGCTGCAGAATTTGATTTTTTGACTGAAGAGCCAGTTGCCTTCAGGAGACAATGAAACCTTAACATGTCTGTCTAAGAGGCCTTTGTAATATCACTTTAAAAAATAGACTCTTATATAAATGTTTAAGCACTGTATGGAATTAAGACATAAATATTTGGCGGAGACTGCAAGGCAGAATGCATAGGAAAACAGCATTTCTAATTTAATTGCAGCTTTCCTTATAGAACTGTGTCTTTTGGAAAAGCACATCTTACTTATTAACTAAGGTACTGGGTCAATAGATGCTAATGTTACCACATGACATGCTCTATGGCTAGAGCCAGATAATAAAGACCAGTCTCCACAAGAACTCTTGTATCATACCTTTATTACAATGACAGAGCCCATGATCATATTTGTGGATTGTGGATCTGATGTGGATACAAATTTTGCCTTGAAAAAAAGAGATAAGAATTTAGCTAGCAGTATAGAAGTTAAATTTTCTAGTGAGAATACTAATTGCAAGAGAAAAGGGTGATTGATTAATTTCTCTAAATACCTTCCACAAGAAAAAATGATTTATCATATGATCTGTGCACTCTAGATCTTTAAAGAAAACACACCACATACTAGGCTGGTTGTTTCAAGGTTGCCTAATACATTTTAAACCTGGAAGTAGAAAACATATAGCAGCAGAAACAAATGAATTCTTTAACTTTTCATTTGTTTGGATCTTTTCTTAGTCTCCATCAATATGGGATGCATCTCTGCAACCAAAACCAGAGTGAAAACCAAAGGAAGAGATCCAGAGAGAAAAAAAGTCACAAATAACTCATCAGAGGAATCTCTTGACTGAGTAGTTACTGATCAATAATGGTATGATGAAATTAAACTTTGAATCATTTGCTCATGACATTTAGACATGTTATATACTGCTACATCATCAGTTCTCTTTAATCAGTAGACCAAAAGCAATGCGAATTGTAGAGTAGAAGGGCATATAAAACTAATTGATGTAACGTATGGTAAAATTTTGGCAAATAAATGGTGTCTCCACATGAATTTAGGGAGATGTAAAGATAATTTTAAAAGGTGGGGGAGGGGGAGGAGTGAGCAAGAGTAAATTAGTGTGTGATGAGATGAAATGATGTATTTGATTTTGCTAAATGTTTAAAATAATTAAAATGAGGTTTGGTGAGAACAGTGGAAATTGAAAGATTTATTTATTAATTGGCCATTGTAAAATAGTTTTTGGACTATTGGGGACTGATTCTCATTTATACTCAGTTATGTGTACACCTACTTTAAGACCTGGTCTATGCTTAAAAGTTTGGTTAATATAGCTGCAATGCTTAGATGTGTGAAAAATGTATATGCCTGAGTACCATAGCTATGATGACCCAACCCCCATTGCAGACTCAGATAAGTCAATGAAAGAATGCTTCTGGTAACCAGCTGACATTGCTTGGGGAAATGAAGCATCTATAGTGATGGAAAAAATCCTTCAGTCACTATAGGAAGCATTTATTCTACAATGCTACAGCAGAATTTCTATCAATGTAGCTGTGCTGTGGTAGCCGTACTATACACCATTGCTGTGAGAGCTCTCTCACATTGCTGTGTCTAGAGAACTTTCTCTAAGTGAGAGTGAGTAGCTCAGCCCAGTCTCTGTTAAGCTTCAAACATGAATAAGCTCTCAGATAAATAAAATTAAAACTACAATAGATGCAAGTCAGCAACAAAATGTTTCTATACAGTATTAAGTTTTCTTATGTGATGTCAAGGTAGACAGTTCTTTCTATGGGGGCAGAGTTAAGGTCGTTAGAAGCATTGTTTTGAGGAGCACAACCTTAACCCTGAATTTTCTAGGTACTGTCATTTTTTAAAAATATAATGTTCTTGGGTTGCAGAATGCTCTCCAGACACTGATATGTGCCTGCTAGGAATAGTTTGAAAAATGGGCCCATAGACCAGCTCCTGCAAGCCCTAAGAGATCCAGTCCTGCAGAAGTTAGGAGGCATAGGGGAAAAGGGAATAACCCATGCCATGTTGACTACTAAGTGTCCTAACTCCAGTTTCTGGACAGGAGGGGGAGACCTCTGAAGAACTGGATAATGGTCTCTTCTTATAGCACATAGGAAGGGGGAGAGGAAAAATATGTCTAGGAAGAGGCTTGGGGATCAGCAATAGCAGGATGAGAGGGGGAGGGAAGAACCTCTCTAATTAGGATCCTAAGTTCCCTGCAGCTCTAGCTCCTCCGCCATACCAAAACTAGCTTCTGAGTCTGAAACATTCTTACACATGGTTCAGGATTCACAGACTCTCACTAGTCATGACAGGTTCACCAGCAATCCCCATTCTGTGAACTGTTGGTTGGAAATAATCCTTTTTTTGTTCCCTTTCCATTGAGGAGCCTCTCTAGTGGTCAGGTTTCCTCTGA